TGCCATTGTATCTATATGTAAATTGCAACAGAGTGGCCATGAGTTTGTGTGCCCTTTAAGGCTCAACCCCTTGGAAACGGGCGGTTGTAGATCGGCACAGGCATATCATAGATTTTAAATTCCAAAGGTTTAAAAAAATATATGAAATAGAGTTTGAATTTTGAGTCGATGATAATTCATCGATTATTTTTAGGACCTCAAGAGCTTGAGGATAAGTGCGAAAAGTGTACGTGGCTTAACTATTATTGTCTACCCATTTAAACATTTTAATTTAGATTCGATTTATAAAACGCCAAATGTAACAAACCTGATGAGATGTTTATTCTAAAAAAATAAATTTTGATAAATATATACACATTTAGTGTCAACATATGTGCCAACAACAGTGGAATTCAAGCATTAAACTGAAAATATATTCCATCATCAATATAGTCAGTGAGGACAATAATATAAAGTTTTCCACAAGCGAAAATATTTACATACATAGCAGAAACTAAGCTTTCATGAGAGGCAAGATGCGGGCCGGAAATCTATTTGCCATCACGGCGAACAAAGTGCTTATTCTCACGGTATAACAAGAAAATGTAACTTCCGATTACTTACACCATCTTTTAAATAACTACAATATCTTTGCCGAGTAAGTTGACAGTACATATAATAAATAACAAGAGAAGTATAACAGGAATAGTTTAACAGTTAGAGTCATTGAGAGGTTTCGGGTTTAAATTTGACCGAGTAAAAACCAAGTAGTTCCTAATTTCTAAGTAGGTGGGTGGTTTTAGTAACAGGGACAAAAAATGGACATCAACTAAAATTGACCAAATTGTAAACGGAAATTGTCTGTTTACGATTTGGACAGTTTAATATGAATGTATAACAGAAACTGTCCCAATTTCCTGTGTCAATTGTTAGTATTGACAAATATTTGTTTTAGGCTATTGCTATAATAATAAACTGCAAGCTAATTCAATATTTTAAGTACACATTATGTATAATTAAAGCAGTTAACAATGAAACATAGTCATAAATAGTACAAGTGTACACAACATTTACAACTTATTAGTTGTTAGACAGGGTAGTCAGAATCATACATGTCAAACAGCTGGTAGAGGAGTGTTATTTGTGTTAGTTGATTTATTAAATTATAGTCCCCCTTTGCAACAATTTTGTCACATGTGTGTTAACAAACTGCTTCCCATCCTACAATAGAGTTCTAGTAACCTCAGGTATTCAGTAACCTCAGTATCTTTGTTATCATGTATTGATAACGAAGATTCACTGACTGTAAAGCATCGCAATTTTTGTTGTTTTATATTCTGTCGCAAACTAAAGTAATTTGGCTTTTTTAGTAAATAACTTTTTAACGTTACGATGCTTATTTTTAAGATGCTCGTATCTTTTTAATTCTGAAATGAAAAATCAATGTAATAATTTAAAATGCAAAAATCTACGTGTGTACGTCCTCACTTAATTTGTGCGAAGCCCTCAAAAACGTAATCTTCTGTTTCACAGCATTTCCAATGAAATTTGGCGAGCTTTCTAGGAAAAATCGTGTGTCAAAAACACAAACTATTTGGTTCTGTCTTTATTTTTCATAAAAAGAATGGAGTAATAGTTGACCTGTTGTGTTCTTTTCCCACTTTTCCCGTATTACTACTGAAACGCTAATAGTTAGATAAGCTAGAAGTCTAAAAGAGTTGAGTAGGTTGGTTAACGTATCATGTAGGTAAGTCACTCCACAACATTCTCAATCCCAATATAGGCATGAAACGCGTCATCGCCCGATTGGTTCCGAAGGAGCTCAATTTTGTCCAGGAATAGTATCAAAAACACGTAGCTGTAGATATGATAGCCCGAGTTTCTACGGACCACCATCATGAATAATTAGCGGTAAGACATTACGAATACGACATGCCAATACAACGCCGTTCTTTGGAACTATGGAAAAAAATAACTAAGATCACATAAAAATCAAGATGATACTAATACATATAGGTACAGTACTGTGGCTTTTTTTTCCACATATTATAAGTCCCTATGAGGTAATTGCAGGAGGTTATCCACTCGAAAGCCATCTTTGTGGAAAGAAAACTCATAGATAACACGGATAAGCTGCCATTACACAGGGTTAAATAAGAGAAATCTACTATTAGGTGAAATGCCATTCCACCTTATACCAACCCGTCTGGCCAGTGTGGTATAGTAGGCCAAAACAGCCTTTCTAAAAAGAGGCCTATGTCCAGCAGTGGACTATTAAAGGCTGTTGATGATGATAATCATGAGGTGAAATGCTAACGTTATTATATTGCAAGACTTGATAGATCTTGAGTGAATATTGCATGTGCACACCTCATTTCAGTAACGGAGTCATCGATGTTTTCAAGTATAATGAACTTTTAGTTGAATATAGTGTTGTTTTTTTTTCTTTTTAAATGACTCGGTGATGAATATTGTTCGCCTTCTAAAACTGCACATATGTCTGACTATTTTAGGTAATTTGTACAATATAACTCAACGAGTGTTTTAGTATACGAGTATATTCGTAAATACAGAAATGATATAAAACTAGCTGTCGGTTGCGACTACCTCGCGTAAAAGTAATATTTATCCAGAAGTTTTTTATTTATTTATAGGTAGTTTTCTATCTTTTGTTGTGTCTCGCAAGTTTATATCGTGATGATCCGTAACAGTACGCAGCCCGTAATATAGGAGCAAATAAACATTGAGTTTTATATATAAGATACATTCGTGTAGTTGTGCTAAAACAAATCCAGAAAATGAAAATAATTTATTATTAAAACTGTATAATATACTTGTCTTAGCATTTTTTGGAATGTTAACACAGTTACAAAAAGCCTACTAACTAAAATGGTTGGTAAATAAATATCCGTCACCTAATGAAGTTCCGAAAGAGCAAAATAAGTAAGTGATTACCAGATCCAACAAAGCGACCGTGTTTCGAACATTTAAATGAATTTGTAACTTTCGGAGATCCCAAACAACAATGGATCCACCATTAGGGCCAGCCGGTCGTCCAATAACGAAATTAATGAAAACCAGAGTACTTTGCGATTACAATAATGTAGAATATTTTAAAATAGAATGCTGAAATACAATCCTTTTATATAAGATGAAAATAACCTTAGATATCAGCTGTTGATTTGTCAGACATTAAATTTTAATGATAACTTTTAGGCAATACAAACATATTGTAACTCTCAATGATAGTTTTAATTACGTTTAATTTTTAAATGAGTATAATATTTACAGGCAAAAGCATTTCTAAGAAATTTGAAACGAACTTGGTCGTCTATTCTGTATTGAATAAGGTAAAGAAAAAATAAAAGGGCCGTCCATTATTGAGTACAAAGTTTCGGTCCTTGCTACCTGATGTTACAGGCAGGTAATCGACCTAACATTGTAAAGTTAATAATACAGCCATGAAGAGGGAGATGTGAACAAAAGGCATGCGAATAATTTGTCCTTATTACCATTACTGGTAGCGTTTCGCGTTCACCTTGAGCACTGAACGGGTTCCTATAATCTCCCTTTTCCGATACTGAAGGCCTGCTTTAGTATTAAAAAGAAGGGAGTAACTTAATACTGTAGTATTCATTTAAAAATGCTATCTACCAGATACCCTTAAAACATGCATAGATTCAGTAATTAAATTCAGTAACAAAAGGTAATTACCTACGTGGACTCTTAAAAGTTGAGGTCGGTTAACTTTTTTTGGGATATTGGTGCTATCTGGGCGAAGTACAGATTAAAAATAGGTTAGTTTTATTTATAAATTTGTTTTCGCCAATGCAATAATGAAACGGGTCGACCAGTGCTAGACAGACATGATGCTCAATATTTAATATACATATTTCATTGGTCTAACAAACGGTCTTCGTTCTTGTGGTTTTGTAATTGGTTGCCTAAGTATGTATGTAGGTTTAACGTTAACGTTGATAGGTAGAAGTTATAAATTTGTTGTTCTATATTGTGACGTAACTAATATACGTACTATAAGTGGTATCTATATAAAAATGATGCATGAATTTATCCGATTACAGATCCCAGATTAAGTAGATCCCACGTTCCGAAAAAAAATAGTGTTTTTAAGGAATGATAAAGTACAGGCAATAGTTAGATGTTATCGATTTTATACATATGATGATTTATAATCAGGTACCTACAATAATTATAGCTCTTAACATAAATCTGTTATAGATTACATTATACAACTTTAAATTAATTAAATTATTTCTAATGGTACAAGTAAATGTAAGATTTGATTGTTTTTATAGCAACTAATTAATTAGGTATCTACTACCATTAGTACTTGTACCTACCGTAAGCGTTTATATCAACTACCAGTTACTATAAACACATTTCCTCTTTTATGCATTACGCCGAAATACATTTTTACATTTCTGGTATCTAATAAATAACCACCATAGTACTAATTAATAACTAATAATACAAATTGTAACACGCTCGTAAAACAATAGTAAATGAATACATCTCTTTTTATCTTACGTGACTGTAGGCCAACAGAATAAGACAACAATGAATTTCAATGAATTCATTCAACTTCAATGTCATAACAATGGCAAAGAGATTTCAATGATCTCTATAATTTTTTTATTTGTCTTGTTTGTGTATTATTCATCCTATATTTTATAATTGTTAAAAAACAGTAACAAACTTCACAATAAGAAGGTATTTTGTTTTACCGCTGTAACGTTTGTAATGTTGGGTAACAAAAAATAACCAGCTACAAATAACAGTTTTTAATTTAGACTATGAGTGCGTCTATTTTATGCCATTGGAACTGGAACTCTGAAGTATGTAACGCCATGCGCCATAGATGCCATAACACTGTTCTTCGTTTCCTCTGACACCAGTGTTATCTTTGTCATGCTTGGGTGTGCGAAGAAATTACTAAATCTCCCATTATTTAACCACAATACAGATACATTCACGTTACAGATATTGATAAATATACTCACAGGATAGTACATCCCCTGCGGCGGCAAAAAAAAGGCCCCTGATCCCCACAGCTTGCCGTTTGTATTTACTTTGTGTTACACAAAAATACACTCCACGTACGCCCTTTCCTCGGGCGTAAATTTTCACAACACTAACTTATAAATTCGAGGTAAACATGAGTATTTAATGGTATAACAATGAATATTACTAAAATAATCTGGGTTGTTTGACTTTTAGGTTATGTGAGTATAGCGCGCAGGAACGCGCTCTAGCACTGAAAGCGGTTAATGTCGATGTGCAACAACGACGGGGGCACGGGCACGCGTGGCCACTCAACGAATCGCCTCGCCCGTGCAAATCACGACGTGTTAGACAAAGACAGAAAACGTTGCCGACGATACTCGACCATTAAACGGAGACAGAAATATATTGTCGTTCTCTCACGTAAATTTACGGATGATTTTCAACTTTTCGTAACAAATTCTGTAAACAAGATATAATGTACTGGTGGGTAGTGCGAAAAAGTACTTTTCAGTGCTTACTTTTGGTTTTAATTAGTGTTGCAGGTAATTAATGGTGTGTGTGTGTGTGTGTGTGTGTGTGTCAAATCGCTGTAAATATATATATTTGGGAAAAAATTGTAAATAGTACATCTAGAGAAGTAGCCGAAGTATTCCATTATCTCTTTTAAATTAATTTCTTTAGGTACTTGCCACGAGTGTATTAATATAAGAAAATAAACATTACAGTACCAGAACGAGCTTACAGACTTACAGCAGGCTAGTCCAGTTTTACAATGACTAGAGTGAGAGAGAAACCGTTTGGTAATGAGCCCTCCCTTTGTTGTCCTTGTCGCAGTGCCGAGAACGGTTCGGATCAATGAATCGTTCCCAGGGCCCCCCGCACGGACTCGGCGTCATCCCAATCCCAGCCTATGCCCCGCGCTCCCTCTTGTTTCATCTCATTTCCCCATTTACTTGCCCACTCCCGTCCTACCCATCCATGTTGTGTCTTATTATTATATTTTTGCAGGTACCGTTAATATAGATAGTGTCTACAAATTGAATACCATATTATGGTATTAAAGTATCATTTTTTCTTGTATACATACTTCTATATGTGTAATTTTTCACACATCATATGGTACTTTTACATATATAAATAGTATCTAAATTCTAAATATTAATGTATGTAAAGCAAAATCCTAATTACTTACCTTGGTACGTAAGTAATTAAGATTTTGCTGAACGCCACACGTTTTCACAAGAGTTGAAATAATAAGAATAAATTTCAATAAACGTAAAAAATATAGATGAGTACACATTCATTTTAGGGTAATATATTTAAAAAGATTTTAGCCTAGAAGCAGGTTCATCAATGACATGTCCTGCACTAGGGATTTATTGCCGTGTCTCGGACCCTCCGCAAACACACGTAATTGTCAAATGAAGGGATCGAACTGTCAACCGCGCAGAAGCAGTTGAGGATTAAACCACTTAAGATTAAATATTTTTTTACTTATAATACATTTCATGAGCGACCTAACAGTTAGTAGTGAGGAACCATAAGTTACTAAAACGCATTGAAATACCTTGTGCATTTGGTACTATCTGTGGTGTTTTACTTAATCCGTCAGCTGCAACTACCTGATAATACTGGTATTGTACTACCTGCAATATGCCATCGGTAACATTTAAAACGATCGAAATTTTCAAAATCAAATGTGAATATACTTTTTTTTTAAACGCCCTTTCAGCTATGCTTTATGAGCGTAGATTTCAGTTCTAGGTCACAAACTTTATATGTATGTTTACTGACCCGTTAAATCGACCATAATAGTTTTACGAAAAAAAACCTTTCCAAAATTTTTATTCACAAAAGCAAGAAGTCGTCAATTGCTAACTACTAAAAATAAAACCAAATCCATTGCTGAACACAGGACAAGGGAAATTTTGTGTTTGTCTATTTGTAGGTATATAAAACTAAATTAAACTCGTATTTGATGATGATTATTTTTAGTTTAGTTATATTTTATAGTTTTTTTTTTAATTTTACATTGTAACTTTTACATTTGTGTTAATTCAAATACGCACACAGCGTGATTTTCCGCCCTATTTATTTCTTGTATCTTTCTGTGAATAAAATTCATAGCGATGTCAGTTGCGAAGTGCGCAATATAATATAAGTTGCTAACATTTGTCTTGGTTACAAATGAAAGGCGTTTCACTTCATTCCATTGTATATAGAAAATCCCACGTGTATAAAAAGGAAAACTTGAACTAATATTTTTTTTTACCTTCTATGTAACATTTCATCACAATTCGTTCTTTAACAAAAATAATTAAATTTACCGTTTTCATGATAATTACACATAATTTATGAGATGTTTTTCCCCAAATTGACTTTATCCTTTTTCATTCCAAGATAAGATGTTTGTTTAAGCTCATACATTATTTATTTATACGTAAGTAAGATGAATTCTTTGGTTCGTTACAAGCAAAATGACTTATGATTTTGATTATGATGATGACCTTGATTAAAGAAAAACAATTCCTGGCCAGTGCTTTTTTAAAATATGTTTTATCAAATTATAATTTTAGATCTTATTTATCTAAATCTGTTCAAATTTATATATATTTTAGTAGTGCAATTAAGTGCGCCATGTCTTAGATTAATCGCTAAAAACTGTGGATATAAATAAATTATATTTATAATTTTAACTAACCGAACTAAAAAGTAGAAAATAATTTTCTATATTAAGTAGTTCAAAAAGAAAATCTTTAAATCTAATCTAATCATTAAAGTTTTCTTAAAAACTTTTTGAACTTATGGCAAATTATTTGAAAATAAAATTATTTACAAAAACGTGTTTTTTGTTCTTATTAAACTATAATTTATTTTTGTTTTTTTAGTTATTAATGATGATTATTTTCTCATTAACACTAAAAAAGTAACAAGTAAGTCACATATGGTTCAGGATACGCCTCTTAGTACGTAGCAAAAGACACTACCGTATTTTTAGGTATGAAAAAAGCCGTTAATCCTGAAGATCCTGATCAGCCACCATTGTTGATCAATCAATTTGCTGTTAGTCTTCGGTGTTTGATAACTGTGCGAAGTTTTAAGTTATTTTGAAGTGGGTCAAAATCACGTTCGAAGATTCCGTTTCATACTTATATAGATTCATACATACTTACATCCATAACAAGTTAATAAAAGCGTGTTAAAGTATAAAATATGAGCTCACAGCGCCATCTCTGAACACCATGTGAGTAACGACAAAACAACGCAACCAAGCCTACTGAAGAACTTTTTGGTGAGCTCATGGCCCACAATATTTTATCGTTTCACTTCCCTTTCTCTAGTGCTCAGTTAATGAGAATGTTCCCTAGATGTCAGGATATTATCGTGTAGACAAGTTGTTAACCCTGCAATTGAGCTTACAGAATAGAATAAAATTCAAGTATACAATTAAAACTACAAAAAAATATTCAGGTATGCTTTCCGACCCGCAATAAGTGTTTGAAACAAACTAGTAAAATAAAAAAGTTTAAAAGGCTGTGGCTGTAATTAGACATCTAGGTCTTGATAAAATTTCTGTACCCCGCCTAATTTATTCTAGTACCAAGATTCTAGCTTTGACCAATACTTGAGAAAATTGATATTTTCCAAGGATGGTGAATATAATAAAAATCTAAAAATTATATGTGAAAACACCAAGTAATACATTTCTGTTCTTTTTGTTCTGAGTTTGGTTCTAAATTTACCTAAGCATATTTGTTTAAACACTGCGAAAAGCTTGTACTAAAAATAAACTCTTCAAATAACACGACGACGGCTTAGTGAGAGAGTTGTTTTGAATAACGATGTTAATTTTTGACATGGCTCATAATTTTTTAATCTCAGCTGGAGGATGTTTTTTTAATACTCTGCTCTCGATAATAATACCGGTTTCAATGTCGACGTAAGCGAAGTAAAGGTTCCATCAATTTTAAAATGTTCAATTATCAATTTGATTTATTTACTCACAAAGTATTAATTAACTATACGTTATATCATAGTGAGAGTCTCCTGATCAATTATCACTTTTACTTTGTTAATGGCAGAAACGGGTGTTTATCTCTATTTTTAACCGACTTCAAAAAAAGGAGGAGGTTCTCAATTCGACTGTATTTTTTTTTTTTTTTTTTTTTTGTATATTTGTTACGCGATTACTCCGGCAATTATAAACCGATTTGAATAATTCTTTTTTTATTTGGTAGGTCATACGTCAGAGGTGGTCCCATTGTCACCAGGTCAGGATCTGATGATGGGATCCTGGGGAAATCGAGGGAAACCCTCAAATTTTGTAGGCATATACACTGTTTATCAGAAATTATCTTAATCTATGTAGATTTTTGCATCTAATGGTCACCATCTGATGTTGCTGAGCTGATGATGAAGCTGATGATGAATGGTTTAGGAGTATGGGATCTCTGTAACAAAATTATGTAATACCATCGAATTTGAATGTTTTTGAGTCTAATTAATAAGGACTCCGATCCTATGTGATATTCAGGGTCTGAGAATGGAGACGGTAAATAGCCATGGGAACTCTGTAATAAAATAAAGCAATTCCGCCGTGTTTGTGCTCATTTGATTCGTCTCGACTAGGAGCTTCATGCTAGTCGATTTTTAACCAACATCAAAAAAGGAGGGTTTTTGTTTCGACAGTATGTTTTCTTTTTAACCGACTTCTAAAACACAAAAGAGGAGGTTCTCAATTCGTCTGTATTTTTTTTTTATGTATGTTTGTTACGCGATTTCTCCGTCAATTGTGGACCGATTTTCAAAATTCTTTTTGTAATCGAAAGGGTATGCTCCCGAATTGGTCCCATTACCACCAATTCAGGATCTGATGATGGGATCCTAGAGAAATCGAGGGAAACCCTCACAATTATTGGGAATTTGACAGCCCCGACAACGTGTTTTAGCAACGAGTATTTCTTTAAAACCATGGCAACCGTCAGAGACTGCGCGATGTGATGCGCAG